TATCTCTGATATCATGTTTTTATTTCTTTATCAGACAACTACTTCTTATTTTATATCTAATTATATTCATTTATTTTATTTTCACCATGTACTTTTTATATTTTGTATCTTTTGTAGCCCTGATGAAGACCTGCAAAGTGGGTCGAAACGTCAGCAAAAAAATTAAATAATACTATTTCTATAATGAAGAGAATAATAGTTGGGGTGTTCAGTCAAAAAGGAAGGCAAAAATAAATTATAATATTTATTTTTTACATATGCCGACGTTTCGACCTGAAGTTCAGGCCTTCATCAGGGCTAAGAAAATAATCAGATAACAAGGTATGAGAAACATAAGTAATGATGGTAAAAAAGATAATAAAAAAAAAAAAAAAATTAAATTAAAAAAATTATTAGAAAAATAAAATAGATAAATATAAAGTAAAATGAAATTGTTGGAATAATGACTAAGAACTAAGAGATAAATAATAAAAACTGTTACAAAGTGTGGAATGATGAAGTAGGCATAATCAAAAAGGGGTGACAAAAGTGTTACAATGGGAATCTTAGAATAAAATGTAAAACATAAAAAAGAAATATAAAGTTATATAAGAAATGAGAATAAAATAAATAGTAAAATTAAAACATTGAGAATGGAGTAGTTTGATAGAAAATTGAGATATTGTAAAGTCTATCAAGATGTACAGACAATGTATAATATAATAGAGAGTTAACAACAGAGAAAAGGAATGAAAGGAAGGAGGGAAGAAATTGAGAAAGCTGAAATAAGAAAGAAATAAAAGAAGTAGTACCTTTCTCCTTAAGTGTCAAAGTGAGAATGAAGTCGTTACAAAGAAGGTGGAGAGAGAAGGGATGTGGAGGTGGCGTCATCTGTAACGGTTATCGGACGAAGTTTGAACTAGAAGAATGCTAGAAGCCTAAATAGTTACGAGAGATATATTATGTAGAAAAATTATGGAATATTGAACGAAAGTTTTATTTCTTTCTTATTTCAGCTTCTTATGCATTATTTGCCCTGCCCTTTCTAAATATCCCACAGAAGCTCTGGTGTGCGTGTTCTGGATCATCATGAGATATGCAGGGTGCAAATCAAAGCAGGCTGCCATTTTTTCATTAGTTTTCTACCCAACGATCTCTCACACAGCATCGTGCATTATTTCTCTTAATATATCCCATCTTTTGCTAATTATTGATACTGGTTGTATGCTTTGTACTTTCTCTTTGACGGATCTACTGAACTGCTGACTTATAGAAGGTTCTTTTTAACCTATACGTGTCATACCAAGTGGTTTTCTTAACTTGCTTGCTAAGATTCAGTGATATCCTGGCGTGAAAGCAGGCCACCGACAGATAGTGGAGGGAAAACGATATGGACAGATGGATAGAGCATTACGCACAAATGTTTGAAGATCCTCGAAGATATAAAGTTATATAAGAAATGAGAATAAATTAAGTAGTAAAATTAAAACATTGAGAATGGAGTAGTTTGATAGAAAATTGAGATATTGTAAAGTCTATCAAGATGTACAGACAATGTATAATATAATAGAGAGTTAACAACAGAGAAAAGGAATGAAAGGAAGGAGGGAAGAAATTGAGAAAGCTGAAATAAGAAAGAAATAAAAGAAGTACTACCTGTCTCCTTAAGTGTCGTAGGGAGAATAAAAGTCGTTACAAGGGAGGGGGAGAGAGAAGAGATGTGTAGGTGGCGTCATCTCTAACGGTTATCCGACGAAGTTTGAACTAAAGCGCTGGAAGCCTAAATAGGTACGAGAGATATATTATTCAGAAAAATTATGGAAAATTGAACGAAAGTTAATAGAAAGTGAAAGAAAAATTCAAAAGAAAAATAACTATTGAGTAATAAGGGAGAAAAAATTGAAATAAAAATATATCATATATAAATAAATATATATATATATATATATATATATATATATATATATATATATATATATATATACACACACATATATACATATATATACATATATATATATATATATATATATATATATATATAAGGAAGTTGTCAGCAAAAAGGAAAGGAATATAACTATGGATGTTTTAATAAATTCAGAATTTGGGAGTAGGTTAAAGAAAAGTTCTGTTTGTCAGATTTTAGTTTCACTGTCTTTGGTTGAAGCTGGATGTGGAGGGTTTCAGAAATGAGTCGTTTGTCATGGTTGAGAACTGTGGCAAGGATGGATGTTTTGTCGAAATGAAATGAATGATTGAGGGAGAGAGAATGTTCGGATAATTTGGAAGCGGTAAAATTACGAGAGGATACAGAATATTTATAAACCGCTATTTATAACACTTAACCACTCCTCATATCTCGAAACCCTTCATCTACGCTGTAAATCAGGCTACCTCACTTTCCAAGGACAATTTTTTAACCAAATCTCCGGACTAGCAATGGGTTACCCCCTCGCTTCCGACATCTCGAACATCGTTCTCAATGATCTTCTAGTCTCCATTATCCCTCTTTACCCTGACGATATCATCTTTATTCGAAAATACGTAGACGACCTCCTCCTAATCATCAATCCAAATAAAATTCCTGATATCCTATCACATTTTAACTCTTACCACCCCCGCCTCAATTTTACAGTACAACGCGAACTCAATAATTCTCTCCTTTTTCTCGACCTTCTAATCATTAAAAATCCCAATAACACCATATCCAAAGACTGGTACACTAAACCAACGTACACTGGCAGACTCCTAAATTTCCATTCTAAACATCCCTACCACCAAAAAATTAACGTTGCGAAAAATCTCATCCACCGTAGTCTCTCCCTCTCTGATCCCCAATTTCATGTTACCAATACAAAACGCATAAAACAGATCATGTAAAACAATAATTTTCCTCACTATGTCATTAACAAACTTATAACAGACCACAATAATGGCTCTTGCTTAATCTCAGCTTCCACTAATTCTCCACAACCCATTTCAGCCCCTATATACAGATCTCTACCTTATATTCCTAACCTTTCAGACAACATCAACAAAGTTTTACGATCTACTAACCCTAACTTACGACTTGCATTCAAATTTCACAACACTCTCTCTAAATTATACACATCCCTAAAAGATCCGGTTCCTCTCTCACACAGCTCTCATATCGTTTACCGTATTCCATGTTCTACCCCCAATTGTTTTTATCCTATATTGGTGAAACCAAAAATCTCCTAAAAGACCGCATAACCCAACATAAATATTCTGTATCCTCTCGTAATTTTACCGCTTCCAAATTATCCGAACATTCTCTCTCCCTCAATCATTCATTTGATTTCGACAAAACATCCATCCTTGCCACAGTTCTCAACCATGACAAACGACTCATTTCTGAAACCTTCCACATCCAGCTTCAACCAAAGACAGTGAATCTAAAATCTGACAAACAGAACTTTTCTTTAGCCTACTCCCAAATTCTGAATTTATTAAAACATCTATAGTTATATTCCTTTCCTTTTTGCTGACAACTTCCTTATATATATATATATATATATATATATATATATATATATATATATATATATTTATTTATTTATTTATATATGATATATTTTTATTTCAATTTTTTCTCCCTTATTACTCAATAGTTATCACTTTCTATTAACTTTCGTTCAATTTTCCATAATGTTTCTGAATAATATATCTCTCGTACCTATTTAGGCTTCCAGCGCTTTAGTTCAAACTTCGTCGGATAACCGTTAGAGATGACGCCACCTACACATCTCTTCTCTCTCCCCCTCCCTTGTAACGACTTTTATTCTCCCTACGACACTTAAGGAGACAGGTAGTACTTCTTTTATTTCTTTCTTATTTCAGCTTTCTCAATTTCTTCCCTCCTTCCTTTCATTCCTTTTCTCTGTTTTTAACTCTTTATTATATTATACATTGTCTGTACATCTTGATAGACTTTACAATATCTCAATTTTCTATCTAACTACTCCATTCTCAATGTTTTAATTTTACTATTTATTTTCATTTCTTATATAACTTTATATTTCTTTTTTATGTTTTACATTTTATTCTAAGATTCCCATTGTAACACTTTTGTCACCCCTTTTTGATTATGCCTACTTCATCATTCCACACTTTGTAACAGTTTTTATTATTTATCTCTTAGTTCTTAGTCATTATTCTAACAATTTCATTTTACTTTATATTTATCTATTTTATTTTTCTAATAATTTTTTTATTTATTTTATTTTTTATTATCTTTTTTACCATCATTACTTATGTTTCTCATACCTTGTTATCTGGTTATTTTCTTAGCCCTGATGAAGGCCTGAACTTCAGGTCGAAACGTCGGCATATATAAAAAATAAATATTATAATTTATTTTTGCCTTCCTTTTTGACTGAACACCCCAACTATTCTTCTCTTCATTATCCACGACAGTCAACCAATTACCAATTACTATTTCTATAATTTAGTATTTATTTGACCGCATCCCCCGATCAACTCCTTCTCACATTATGTCACGAGCAACCATCTCTACATCATTAAAAATCATAAAAATTCTGGTCTAAGAAAACAAAATTAAACTACAAAAAACATATTCTGATCCCACTTAAGGAAGGTACATGAGTGTAAATAATAAAACTCCAGACAATCAAATTACTTGTTTATTCTGATGAATTATTTAGAATGTTGTCATTATAAACAATAGTAAAGTCTTAGGTTATACTCATTTATGTTATTTCAATAGTTTTGCTTAAAACTGATTGCTATAATAAGTTGTTAATATAAGTTCCTATACAGTACTCTGAAGTCTGGAGTTTGGAGTGATTAAACCATGTTAATAAATATAAATAACAGGTGGTTTTAAAATTTGACTGGGATCATATGTAATCCAATGATAGCTATTAGAAACAATATGCTCATTTATTAAAATCTATTTTACAAATAATTTTACATATTCATGATGAGAGAAAGATAGTAATAAATTAATTTGGAATAAATAGCTAAATTATATTACATACCATTAGCTCTGCAAGAGTTAGTAGAGTTATTAATCTTTGTATATCCTTCAGCACATTCACATTCCACTTTATGAGCACCCCGCACAGCACAGATCTGAGGACAGTTGTAACAAGGTTTGTTTGGGCAATTTTCTTCATCAGATCCATCTGGGCAGTCATACCAGCTATCGCATAGCAATGAATGTGAAATACAATGACCAGAAGAACAACGGTGGCCATCACAACTTAATAATCCAGCACCTAAAAGAAATATTTAATTAATAAAAGAAAGCAATGGGAGGCCCTTCCAATATAGATGATACAATATGTAATTGACAGAAATGTTTCAAACAGTAAACTTAACAAAGGCAGAGGTGGTTATTTTTACTAAGAGAATATTGTAATTTAGTTCAATTACTAATAATAATATAGACCTCAGAGTTTCTTTAAAAACACCTGAAGACCTCGACATTGCAGTACATTCCTTCAATACCCTGATCCAGCAAGCAGTTTGGACTGTATCCTCACCTGATCATCGCAAAAAATACTATAACATAAATCCTTTTCCTCAAGACCTACTGGACCTTATCCATAGCAAATGTTGCTCTAGGACCCTTTGGCAAAGAACCAGGCATCCTGATGACCGGAAATCATATAATTATTATTCCAAACAGGTAAAAAAAAAATGGATACCTTTAGAACCCAATCCTACAATTCCTACCTCTCCTCATTATCAGCTAGTGATAACTCTCTCTGGAATGTAACTAAAAAAATCCTCAAATTTCAGTCCATTTCCCACCCACTTAGCTGTGATGATGGTTCCTGGGCTTCGTCAGATGTGAATAGAGCTGAAGAGTTTGCTAAACATCTATCCTACACATTCACTCCTTATCCCGAACTCCATCCCACACACACTGCTGAAGTTAAAGAATTCCTTTCTTCACCAATTCCTCTCTCTCTACCTCTAAAACCTGTTAACCCCTCTGAGATCAAATTCCTTATAAACAAATTAAAACCCCGAAAATCCCCTGGATATGATCTCTGGAAGAAATAATAGACATAAATTTATTTCATATTATATCCTTTTTCCTTTTCTTTCAATCTCTCCTGTAGATCTGTAGAAGTTTGCATTTATTATATATTACATTACAACAATTGTTAGCATCTATTTACTTCAGTTTAGGATCCTGTTACTTAGCTTAATTTGTTCATATTGCAGCAAGCGCTATGAGGAGACCCGAGGTAAGTAGTTGGAGTTCTTGGAGGAGAGGTCCTTCTGTAAAGGAAATAATGCCGGGAACGCAACCGTGCGGATTGAGGGTACGACAACGGGTGGGGCAATCAATCGAGTTCCTTAATAATCAATAATAGTGGAACAAGCGGACGGTGGACAATGTTGCCCGTTGCGAGGTTAAGAGATTCGAAGATAAAATTTTTAATTGGCACCGGAAGCACAAATTCATTAATAGTAAAAGAGGGGCTGAGAAACTGAGCTCAAGCTGTGTAACTGTGTGGTGTCCACAGTTAATGATAAATGCCAAATTTTGGGAGAAACTTCATTGAACCTCTATAAATTAGCAGGGAGCGATTCGCGGATAAAGGTTCAAGTCATCGAAGAATTAATGCCGGGGTACGATTTAATTATAGGTGTGAAATCCTCCAGCAAACAGGTCTAAAGATGAGAGTTAGCTGCAAATCTTGGAATTACATCATAGGAAAGCGACAATACCAAACCACAATGGAGGGAAATACCGAGGGTATCCAAATCAGGGCAGTACAGTACGTAAAGGAAGCGATAGCACAATTGGTAGAACACAACAAAGAACTGTTTTACCGCGAAAATGAGTTTTTACTGACCACGGGGAAAACTGTACATCGTATCCATCTAAAAATGGAAGCCCAAATATATGTTAAGGATAGGCGGTACCCTCAAGCTATGAGGAATATCATTAGGGAGCAGTTAGGGGAACTCCTTCAGCAGGGAATAATCAGACCCAGTAACCATTTAATAGTCTATAATCTCCATTTAATAGTCCATTATGGGTAGTCGAGAAGAAGCAAGGTGGACAGGGCGAAAGGCCACAGACGGTGCACAAAAAAGGAGTCGAAAATGTCGTCGCCGATTGGTTATCACGAGATTTAATAGTGAATGCAATTGAGGAAGAAAATACTCCCGTGGAATCGTTAGCACTAAGATCCCGAGAATGGACGGAAAGTGGGCCTGGAGGCTCACCAGTTGAGAGTGAATCGGAGGAAAACGTCATCTCGACGGATAGACACCAGGAACTACCTGAAATAAAAGAGATTGTCAACGATAAAAAACTTCAGATAATCTGAAACTGAACATCACACGGGCAAAACTAACCACAGGGGAATAGAAGAGACACAGCGTGCGTTAAAATTATTATACTACTGGAAGAATGTGGGGTGAATCGTACGTGAGTGTATTATGAGTGCGAAGTATGCCAGCAAGCAAAGTATGATCGCCAACCCCCGGTAGCACAGCAGGTAGCCACACCCACCGCGACTGAACCTCTGCGATCAGTACAAATTGATATATATTCAAATGAAGGACAATCGTGGTTAATGGCGATAGATACGTTCAGCAAGATCGCAATGGCCTACCGCATCGAAGCGAAAACACCTAGACCAATATGGGAGGGAACCTTACAATGGTGTGCGACGTACGGTGTACCCAACGATATCGTATCTGATTGCGGAAGAGAATTTGATAACACACTAATTCAGGACGAGAGCAAAACGTTAGGCATCACGTGGCGGTTGAACACTCCGTATCATATTAAGGGGCACTGTGGAACGACTACATAATACTAGGAGAACACCTTAGGTTATTCAAATCTCGACCCATACGACGCTATACTGCGTGCGGTGATCGCATATAATAATAAAATATACGCAGCGACGGGGTTATCCCCCGTTGAAATAGTTTTTGGCCAAAGGCGGAGGGACAGAGGCGACTTAATCACGGCCAGCTGCAGTGACCTAAAGGCGAATCTATACAGGGCGAGAATAGATCGTCAAGAAACGCGGGTAAAAATTAGAGAACGGTTGATCCGCAATAACCGATTTGTAGTTTATAAGAAGGGTCCTTTGGCGCTGGGGACTGTCGTATGTAGGCGATTAAGAACCGCAAGGAATAAAACAGCTGCGCGTTATAAGGGTCCCTATAAAGTAACAACAATTAAAGAAAATAATTTGTTCACCATCCTTGACGTAAAATATCCATTTCAGTTACGAACGGTTCACTTAGAAGAACTTCGCGTACCCCATATAGAGTCGGAACTCGAGCTGAAGACGTCAGGACACTAAGAATATATATATATATATATTTTTTTTAGGTGTAATTATTACGTACCAATTAAGAATAATTGCAATAATTAAATTGTGAGATTGAAAATTGAAACATTCAGATTTATTTTGTAAACTTATTTGTGATTCTATTAATTATAAGTGTATTAGGTTTAGAATAATATGTAGACTAAGAATTGGACATTTCTGTTTCCATTGCAAAATAAGTGATATCATTAAGATCAGTGTAACCTTTTTATTCTATTTTTTTTATTACAAAGAATTTTTATTATTAAGTTAAGTGTTACCCTTTCTTTATTTTTTTTTTTTGCTAATATTTTTTAGTTCCTCTAGGGGGGATCTATATATATATATATATATATATAGATCTAGCCCTAGATGATTGATTGATACTTACATTCAGTAATTACGAGAATTTTTTATGCGGCATTGTACGGAACCAGACATACAGGAACGAAAGACCGATATCCTGAAATAAAGGTTTATCTTTCTTTTATTGGTAAAAATTTGTGTATAAGGCGTTCTGTAGTTGGTCTATTAATTATTTTATTTAGCTATGTGTAGGATATTCCATGTGAAACTGTACAAACCTTAAAGAAAATTGGAAAAGGGCTGATATATCGGCCTTTTTATTATCGGTATTGGCCAAAATTTTGATATCTGTCCATCTCTACTCAACACTAGCGGATCCAGGATTTATTTTTTGGGGGCTTCAGCCCGAAAGCTTTTTTTTTCATAAAAATAACGATAATTACTTTGGAAAAAAGAAAAAAACTAACTATCTATATGAAATGGTGTTTAAGTGATTCCCTAAGCCCTTTTAAATGTAATTACTCGAACAATAATACTTTAAGAGATACTTTTTAAATATTTTTTTCTATAAAACATGGTTGTATTTTACCATTTTGGGGGGGGGGGGGGCTTCAGCCCGAAAGCCCCTTCCCCCTCCCCCCCCCCCCCCCCGTGCTACTCAACAGTCATTATAAATGAAGCCTAGAAAGCTGTGTTGCTGAATACTGCGAGGATTGTTTGAAGCTTCTTCAATTGACTTGGCTTATATTGACTATAAGTGGTTGGAGCTTACTCTTCCCCAATGCAGGAAAATATCTTTTGTTGAAAGTATTAAAAGTGAATAAATAAATAATAATAATAATTTCATGTATAGTGTAATATACAACTTTCTTGAAATTAATATTAAATTAGTTTAGTTGATTTTGGGGCAGGCAAACCTAATTAAGAGGCAAGTTAACCTAATTCAGATAATATAAAGAGATTTTGAATCTGAAATGGTTTAACTAATTGAGGAAAAACAAAATGGCCGCTCTCCGGGGAACAAAGGAGGTTGTTTGGCTGTGGAACTTGTTATTTGGAGATGTTGAAGATAGAATGTCCCAGGGATCTTCTGACTTAAGTAGCTGAAATTCACAATAGTACTACTATTCCAACAGAAGATTATTGAATATGTTTTAAACAGAAAGTACTTGCAGTGCCATTCATGAAAATACAGTTATTATAAAGTTAGCTTGCCAATCTATCTTTGACTCTGTTTAAAAACAAAAACAATGTTTAGTGTGAATAGTTTTTCTATGAGTTTTTGTCTGATGGTAAGTATCTCATGCCCTGAGATAAAACCAATGTAATTTCATTTTAATATATCAAGGTTCATAAAGTTTTGTCTTCTTTAACAACCTTTTATTTGTTTTGGAAAATTTCACTACAAGATTAAAATGATCTTCCTGGAGTATAATTATTTTTAAATTTTGAGACATTACAATAGTTAACAGCTACCATGTATATTAAAACATATAATTATTGTTATATATAAATAGAAATATTCTTAACAACATATTGAATTAATTGCATTGTTACCAATAATAGAATAAATTGTCCTCAAAGATGGGTCAGAAACCCGAAATAACATTACTATAACTATAAGATTATAAATAACTAGGAGGTTAAAAATGAAATAATTCTAAACAGATGAGGTATCTTCTATTATAAAAACAGAAGAACAATTATAACTCTTCCTCATATATTATATATAAAAAAATAAGTGTTGAAATTTATTTTGTGGCGAACCCACAGATTGAATCTTAACCTTTTCTCTTTCATTAGAATAGGTTTTGTTATACCTCTAGAACAACCCTCTATATGCCAGAAATAGCAGAGTGGGCAATAAAATTGAAAAAAAAGGTTCTTTTTACTAAGAAACAAAATGTGAATGTCTTCAACAACCAAACTATCTTTGGTAACCAACTTTAATTCAGTCTATATTTGAAATTTGAAGATATTAGTTTGGACCCAAAACTAAATTGAGAAAAAGAACGAAAGGAAAGGTGATGGCTACAAGGACGCCCATTCCTCCCCTCCAAAGTCGATGGCACATACCCCCTCCCTCTCCCAATCATAAGAAATTTCATTGCTCTTTCTCCTTAAAAACAGAATTGAAAAGATTTCCCATGAAGGACCATTACCTTCATTGGGTATCTTCAAACAACATAAACCAAAAGAGATCCTTGATTCTAGCTAATATACTGGCCTAAGAAAGGCTAAAAAATAATTAAACCACCCTCTATATTATAAACTAATTGAAAAAATAAAATAAATCTGAATAAAAATATGAATACTATCAGCCAACTGTAGAAATAAAAGACGTTTGAAGGTTTGTAGGTTTATATATAATGAGACTTTCCACTAATATACACAGGCTCTGAAATTGTTATATTAAAAAAAGCCATATGCCAGGGTTTTCCCTATCTAATGTGAGCCTATTTGATTTCATTGATGGAATACTAGGATGTTCACGCAAGAGTAAATACATTAGACCTCCACTTTATTAATCTGACGTTGGGAAAAAAAGAACAATAGACCATGACCCAGAGCAGAGGCTGCTTTAATCTTTAGTGACAGATTCCTTCTTTGAGCAAGGATATTGTAATAACAGACATAGAAAAGAGGAGACTATCATAGTTACATGAAATCCACAAATCAATTAAATCTTATGAACAGCACAGCCATTAGTTATCTCTACTTATCTTTTGAAGCTAACTATTGTTTGACTGCGTGTGGAAGGATGGATTACACAGTTATTGATACAATCAGAAGATAAAGTAATATCTGTAATATTTTAATTGTGGATTAATGGTTGACTGTAGTGAATAATTGAAGAGAAGAATGGTTGGAGGTAATCAGTCAAAAAAGTAAAAATAATACTGTAATATTTTACATGCATCCAATTTATAATACCAAATTAACTCACATGCTTCAGACGACTCATCAGAATTATCACCACAAGTATTTACTCCATCACAAACATTCACTTTTGGTATACATTTGTCATTCAAGCATCTGTAAATACAAAACTAAGTGTCATATTATCACAAAAAATAAAGAAGTAATGAATTATCTATCTAGTGATGCAGATAGGTTTCAAGCCTCACATTTTTTTTTCTCTTACCAACTTTCAGAAGCCTACTTTCTCCACTGTTTAAAATTCATGGCTTTGAATATATGTTTTTTAAAAAATGTTTTCAGTCCATGAAAAATAACAATAATAAATTTTAAAAAGTATTAATTATTGCTATTATTGATTTATTATTTTCAATTAGAATGTTTAGTGTCAGTAGGCCAAATAAATTTTTGTTATGAAAAAGCAAATTAGATTAATTTTTAGTGTCCTTTGAAACTCTTAGATAATAATTTTTAAATAAATTAAAAATTGCAAAATTTAATTGATTTTCTTAGAGGAATTTTTTTTTGCCGATAACTAAAGCATTCATAACTTCTCAGGATTTTCTTTTAATTCAACATTTATACAACCGTTGAAAATTTGAATTAATATTCTTCTAATCCACATCAATAACTTTTAGATTTAATTCAATTTTAAATTAAGATAAACTTCTCAGTCATTTTTATTTTATATCTTTCATTCTAATTTGTTTACTGAGGTCGGTTTTATACCATTTTGTATAGCATATTGTAGTAGATAGCCCCCAGTATTTACTCCTTTATGTGACATTGTTTGAGGGAATAAGAAGGAATATATAGGAATATGAGGTTGCACTTTGAATTGTACTCAATTGTGTAGTGGACAAATTGTTCATTGAAAAATCTCATATCGATAAAGAATCAAAGAAGGAAGAAGCATAAAAAAGGAACGAGCAGGTAGCAGCAGCTAAAGAAGGACACCAGGGAGAAAAGAAGGCACTCCAGGCCAGGACAAGAAGAAAGGAGGTTATCAGAAGAGAGAGGCTACTACACTGAAGATTAAGCCTAAAGTTTTAAGACTTTAATAGATTCACTTATTACAGTTGTAAAAATAAATTGTTTTGTTAAACAGGGGTGAATAGTCCTTTTATTTAGTTGTCCTATAGGCCGCACAATTGAAGAACAACAAACCAGGTGGGTCAATTTATTCAAAGTGTGTTTACTAAGTCCCACATTTCAGATATATATATTTTTATTATTTCTTGTCACTCAGTGTCACAAAAGTATTAGGTTTCAGAATTGCTAACGACAGTTAAACACCCTCAAAAAGTCTATATCCAGTGCCGGTGTTTTGTTTTAAGAAAATTAAATCACGAGTGTAAATAACCTAGTCCACCACAAAGTGGAAGGCCATTTACGATTGCCCGCCAAACAAAGTAATATTTACAATTAACTCTCAACATGTTATTTACAATATAGAGCTCTAAATCTCTAATAACTATTGTGTGGATCTGTGGGGCCGTTCAAAACTTATCACAATTTTTGTGGTTATGCCAGCCTAGGCAAAAATTTCGTGCAGAAAATTTTAATTTTTGGATTGCTATACAAAGTGCTTTTAGGGATTTTTAAGATGCAAAAAACGAATATCAACTTTGTTTCTCCTTAAAAAAATATTTGCTAGAGATACCAAATTTTTTTTTTTTTTTTTTTTTTTTTTTCAATTTTGCACAACTGAAGGAGTCATATCCCCAACACCCAAAAGCCACCGCTCCCTGTCCATCCAATCTCCCTCACGAAGCCCTCTGGCTGCCATGCGACTATGACTTGATCATCGGCATACTGCAAATTGTAGATGACATCATTCCCGATTTGAACACCCATTCCACAGCACGATCTTTTCCAGTTTTTAAGGACTTGTTCTATGTAAATGTTGAAAATCAGGGGTGAAAGGCAGCAGCCCTGTTTCAATCCTTTGTTAATGAAGAAGCTTCTAGACACTCTATCTCCTATTTTTATAGCCCCCTTTATATTTTTATAGAGCTCTTGAATTGCTCTGATGAGGTATCTCTTAATAGATGTGGCTTCCAAAGCTTTCCACAATTTCGCTAGAGGTACTGAATCATAGGCCTTGTGTAAATCTACAAATATCATATGGAGTTCACGGTCGTGGGCCATCCTCTTTTCTATAAGTTGTGAGAGACTAAAAATGTGATCAGTGCATGATCTTCCAGCTCGAAAACCCGCCTGTTCCTCGCTGATCTCTTCCTTTAAATCATTTTCAATTCTGCTTTTAATTATCCGGCCGTATAATCTACTCAGCGAGCTGGTAACAGTAATACCTCTGTAGTTGGAAACGTCTTTCTTTTGGCCTTTTTTGAAAACTGGAGTGATATAACCCTGTTTCCATTCTTCGGGGATCTCTCCACCATTTAACAAAAGTGTCATACTTTCTGCCAGTGCCATTTTGAGTTCGGTCGGGCCTGCTTTAATTAATTCAATTGGAATAGAACCAGGGCCGGGAGATTTTCTATTTTTCATTCCTTTGAGAACTGAGTCCAGTTCTATGATTGTGACTGGCGGTATATCTTCCTTATTTGATATCATTTCATCGGATTGGTTCCATGCGAATTCGGGTCGTTCCTCATGAAATAATTCTTCAAAGTAATTCACCCATTGCTGCTCTTTGATCAATGGGAAGTTATCTCCACATCTTTTGGGATTTTTCAATTTTTTTAATGTCCTCCAAGCAGCACTAGACTTTTGTCCATAGTCCACATACTTGCAGGTTTTCTCCCAATAGATATTTAATGCCTTCCTTCTAATAGCTTTTACTTTTTTACAGGCATTTCTATATTCCCTCAGGTCCTTCTCATTTTTAGAGCTCAACCATTTATTGTATAAATATTTTTTCTCTTGAACAGCCACTTCAGCATCCTCATTCCACCAAGGCTTGTTTTTTCCTCTAACCTCTTTCCTTTCCTCTCCGACAGCTTCTAAAGCTGCGGCATGCAGGCACTTTACTATATTTTCGTAATTTAGCCGATCATTCAGATCTTTCTCATGATTCAATTTCTCCATCAGTCGGCTTTGGAACAGTCCTTTTACTGATTCTTGATTTTTCATACTCTCAATTGAGTATCGAATCGTTTTCGGAGAGTCTGAAATTCCTCTGGTCACAGGAGAGCTTCTAAGAAGATTATGGGGTTTAAAATTCAGAATACTCTTTAAAAGAAAGTGATCCGAACCACATTCCGCCCCTCTCATCACTCTAACATCGTTCACCTTTATCCTAGTAGTGCGCCTGAGGATTATATAATCTATGATTGATTTTAGACCTTTAGTGGGCTGGTGCCAGGAGAATTTGTGAATTTCTTTATGCTTGAAGAATCCATTTAATATTTTCATGTTTAATTGCTCACATAAACTAATTAATCTTGCACCGTTATCGTTAGTTACCTCTTCTCCAAAGCGTCCCACGGTCTCATCGTTGAACTTGCTGCCAACACGTCCGTTGAAGTCGCCCAAACAGATAACAATCTTACGATCAGGTGTTCGCTCTATCAAGTCGCAAATATCATCGAAAAACGTGTCTTTTATGGATTGCTTGGAATCTTCAGTTGGAGCATAGATCCCAAAAATAACAACCTCTTCTCCAAATAATGCCATTTCAAGTTTAATTATTCTTTCATTTACACATTCATAATTTTTAATATACCTGCGCAATCTTTTGTTAATCACCACTGCAACCCCTGCTCTAGCTCTCTCACTTTTTTCCACTCCACTGTAGATATACACGAAATCTCCTGAAAGTTCATTGTAACTTCCTTTGATTTTAGTTTCACTGAGGACTGCCACATCGATATTTTGCTTTTTCAGTTCATTTTCCACTTCGTTTTTCTTGGTCCTCAAACCTTGAACATTCCACGTACCAAAAAACATGTTCCGTTTCCGCGCCTTAAGTCGTTGCCGATTAGATCCGTCCGGTTTTCTTTCTGTTTTGGGTTTGAAAGCGAAATATTTTTTTCCGATGAAGGGGTGCTGGCCCTACGATCAACCTTTTTTAAACTGCAAGGACAGTGGTTTGATTTTGGGGTTGCCTTCCCCTAGACAGGTTGCCTTCACTATGGCTATGAGTCCTGTCCACCCAGGTCGCAGTTTAACGTCATGCCCGGGACGATACCAAATCCGTTTTGAATAAATATTATATTTGGCAGATAGCTACAATGTGCACAGTTTGGACGAACCGACAAAGCATTGTGGCAGTAAATATTATTTTAATGAGAAACAAAATTGATATTTGTTTTTCGCACCTCGAAAAACCTTTAAATCTGAATTTTTATAATAATTGAAAATTTAAATTTTCTGCTCAAAGTTTTTGCCTAATAAACCTTAATTAAATCAATATGGACTAAAAGCTTATTAAATAAAGAAATTTTTCTTAAAGTGGAGTATATGTAATATAGTTTGATAATGACAAAAAAAAATCATGAATAACTTGATTTTTTTAAAACGAACTTAGTTTAGTTGAGCTGTTCAAAAGTTCTCTTTAAATGATAAAATTAATTTTAATTTAAATTAAATTTTGTCTAGTTTACAGTGAAGCAATCGTTAATTATTTAAATTAAATATTTCTTTAGTTATCGCATCCTATTCAACAAAAAGTATGACACACAATAAAACTCAAAACTTGGATTTTCTGCTTGAAATTGGCCCATTGTTTATATGAAGTTTTTTGTAGCTCTTGAGGTGTGCTATTCCTCTACTTACGGGACACCATGTATATAGATATAGCTAGAAGATATTTCTATATAATCTGGCCTATGTAACAATAGAGGATATTTTCAAATTAATAAAAAAAAGCCAACAGACTAAACATTAATCTACATAAGGTTAATGTTCGCATCTTCACAGTAAAGAAAAATAAGGTAATAAAATTGCCAACAATTAATGGAATCCAGCTAATCCTGAGTTACAACGCAAAACATCGATGGAGTAACTCTGGATCACAAATTGTCATGCATAGTTACAAGACAACAACAGCAAAGCCTTTAAAATGCCTATGGGCCTGTAAGGGAAAATTGGGAGCTTAGAGTAGAATGTATAATTGTTCCTCTAAATCCACTTGAACGTTTTGACAAAAA